GATATCTACCAAAAATTATAGTTCTAAATTAAATGTGTTACTGTGAACTTTTAACGCTTTCAAAAAAAAATATTTATTTATTAAACACAACAATATACTATAAAAAATATTTAAAAATTTAGATATGTAACTACTATGTTAATACAAAAAGTCACAAAATATTTTAATAAAAAGAATCGTTATATTAACCCAAGAAATAGTGTGAGAAAATTAATTTGTGATTTTTATCTTTTACATCGATTCATTGGTGAATTATTATGTGTTTTTCTTATTCACAATTTGTGGTGGAGTAAAGTTTTCTTCCGAGAATCTTGGTTATGAGATGATTGACAACTTCAGTAATCTAACAACATTAAAATTCTTAAAATCACTAACTAATTTTTTTAAACCATTTTTTTGTTAATGTAATGATTCTTTTTATTAAAACTTTTTGTGACTTTATTTTTATGACTTTTTTTTTTTAAATAGTAGTTACCTATCTAAAGTTTTATATGTTTTTTATAGTGTATTTTTGTGTTTAATAAATAAATATATATTTTTGAAACCGTAGAATTATAATTTTTGGTGGATATAAAAAAACAAAAAAATAATAATGGTTAAAGTATTATCGGCTCATTGGCTTATTATATTGAAATTGGTAATTCTTATGTTACACTTTAATATTTGGAATTAACTTATGTAAACTAAGTTATTAAATTGTAAGAATTAAGTGTTAAAGAACACTTAATTTGTTTTCAATTAAAAAAAAATTAAAAGATAAATGTTAAAATAGTATAGATGACACATGACATTCTCTCATGACTTGGGTTTTATAAAACATTAAAATATTATATAAGATATGTGTGAAACAATTTTAGCAACAAAAAAAAAGTGTAAAACAATGGTAACTCTTGTAATCTTTCTCAAAAGACAAAAAAAAAGAGAAATTTCAAAAAATGCCACTTTCCAAGTGTCAAAACATTTTGGGGCAATTACAAAAATGTCACTTTTGTGTGCACATTTGCAAGAATGCCACTTAGAGGTGTCTATTTACAAAAATGCCACT